AGAGTGTTTGGCGAGTGAAAATATATCTGTGCTAAACTTAATACTTAGCCTCCAACTCACACACTGGCGAGTAAAATCTGAGAATTTATTAGCCATTGGCTAATATTAGACATCATTTAGTCGCCAGAGTGAAGATTTAGTCGCATATGCGAGTGATTTACTCGCAATGTAGAGGGTTGGCATAGATCATTGAATCTGATTAGACCGTTAGCATCTCGCCCAAAAATGACCAAAGAGTTTCTATATTTTTCCAATTTAAATCTTGACTATTCTGTAGTTACATCGTGTACTAAGACCGACGGAAAATGAAAAGTTGCGATTTTGTAGGCTGATATGGCTAAGAACTATACTCTCATTCCGGTGTAATAATCAAGGCACTTTGCTTGATGCAGCAGGCGCAATGTTATTACGCAGCGCCTGAAAATAGTTCCAGCTAGGTAACTTCCAATAAGCCTATTTTCAGGCGCTGCGTAATATCATTGCCTATTTTCAAAAAATAGTGGAGTGTTCCTTTAAGCTGGATGTAAAAGATGCAGAATTTGTCATATATTATTTGAACATAAAAAAATAAGGTCCTTTTAAATGACCAAAGCCAACCTTGTTGTCGACGGCCAGCACAAGCAGGCAGCAGACCTCCACAAGCACAGCCCCGCTCTCAGAAAGAGAGCTCAGAGTGGGAGATTTTGACATCTCTGTACTGTGACATGGGGAACCACCGGGCTCCTGAGCTGCAAACACAAATCATACTCCATGGTAAGAAAACCCAAAATTATTTTTACACATTATCCTTAGAATCTAAAAACTGTCCATTTCTGTGTTCTGTTTAAGTTTTTTTGTGTAATGCTCATCCACATTACTGTGTACCTGTTTTTAGCACCACGAGGTGGAGTGAGTCGTCTCTGATGTAGGACACAGCTGCAATGTCATGGATGGGTACGCGAAGAATGATGTCTTCTCCATCACGCCACACAAGCTTCACATTGTATGCGGACAAACTCACAACAGCATCCTGCTCTGATGTCAGCTGTCCTGCCAACTGATGAGACTTCTGCAAAACACATAAGAGAAGCAATGTGGGAATTTATCTTCATGTTGCAAAATAAGGCAATGTCATTGACTGTCACTCTTACCCTGGCATTGTCAATAAGCTGCAGAACTTCTGTGCGGCTGGAGGGATTCAGATATCCAGGAACTGAGGTTAGCTGTCCCAGATACTACAACAGTAATAACAACAATAATGATATAGAGCCTTTCTAAAAAAAAAAAAAACAATATCGCTTTACAGAGCATGATAAACAGGAAAATAATGTGAAAAATGTATATTAAAAAAATAATGGCAAAAGAAAATAATAGGGATGCAGTGATACACCAAGAGACTGCACTGCACAGTTCTTTTATTTTATTATAAAAAAAAAAATTTTTTGTCTATGGAGTTCTAGAATCTAGGAGCAGCAGTGCTAAATAACCTGCCACCCATGGAAGTCCCTAACTATTAAGGGAGCGAGGGGAGAAATCATATAATTTCTTGATATAAAGTTGATATAAATGTGGGTGTCATCAGCATAACAGTGGAAACCATGGTGTCTCATTATCTATCCAAATGGAGGCATAAACTACAAATAGAAGCGGACCAAGTACTGAACCCTGGGGGACGCCACAAATTGATTAGATAAAGGGTTTGTAAAAAACAACTAGCTGCAAGATGGGATCCTTTGAAGAGCTTGTGGCAAACACTGTCAAATGCAGAGCTTGATTCCAAAAGAAGAATATTAAGGTAACTGATGGTTGAGTCTTCTTCACGCTCTTATGTTTGATTGGACACACTGCCTTTGATGGCAACAACAAAAGATATGGGAAGTGTTTTCTCCTCCATGTTAAAACGTTAAACACCAATACAATTTCATATGTTAACTATGCATGACTATTTGGTTAGCAGCATTTATTTGCATTTCCTGTTTTAGTTTTTCCTAGTCTGCAATCCTACCAGTACAGTTTGCCCCTTTCTACCTTTGCTAAGTTTTTTTCCCCCCCAAACAAAATGGTAAAATGTGAGCACATAATACAATAGCATAAATTTGAAGGCGAGTAATACCTTAACTTCTTTCTCAATGTAGTCATTGAGCAGAATGTCTGGGTCGATACGGTGGTCCGGGAGAGAGAGGGAGAAGGTGTGGAGGGCCCTGCGCTCAGTAGACTTCTCCAGGGCCTTCTTATCTCTCCCCTTCTCTCCTTTCAGAAACACCCGCTTGAATGGAGACACAATACCTGGCTGAAGAAAGAAAGAGAGAAAGAGGAAATCACATCACGACCAGAGGAAGTCAAAAACACAAAAGCTTTTTTCAGTGTAACCATAAGTTTATGAGTTTGGTCAGTGGCTAGCTGTGCCAAAATTATTCTTGCTGATGAGCTGATACACTTCACACTGACATACTGGATTTCCACTGACAACATCTTTGAATTCTGTGTTCTGGACTGATGGGGCAACTGTTACTACAACAATCCCAAGCCTGTAAATTAGGGGTGGGGGAAAAAAATCGATACAGTATAGAATCGCGATATTTTCCGCGGCAATACTGTATCGATACACGGACGCCAAGTATCGATCTTTTATTATACTATTTAGTAGAATATTAAAATCAATTTCTTTACAATCCACTAGATGGTGGTGTTGAGTTTTTTTCTGGTGAGGTCAGCTGGGTCACCTTCAGCATGCAGTACGTTAGTAAAATAAATATGGCAGCATCGCGGAAAGTTATCAGGAAAGCCCCGTCCGCGTTTAAATCAGATACTTGCTTCGGATTTGTAAACAAGGAGGGGATGTAAGTAGGGATGCACCGAATTTTCGGCATCCGAAAGAGAAAAACAGCCGAAAATGCAAGCCGAAAATATAGGCTACATATAATAATAATAATAATATATATGGCGCGCCGCGCCCCGCCCGGCAGTGTTCAGCGCGCATGTTTCACTCTCCTTGTCACTGCTCGGTTTGACGCTCCGCTCAATATTCCGCTCTATGAATGTGCGTTCCGCTCATGTACCGCTCATGCTAACCGGAAAAGCAAAGTCCTAACTAATGTTAACTAATGAACCTTATTGTAAAGTGTAAATATATTTAAAATCGCAATAATATTGTATCGTGACACAAGTAGCGTGATAATATCGTATCGTGAGGCCTCTGGTGATTCCCACCCCTACTGTAAATACATCAGCCTCCATGGAAGTACCAGTTATGTTGAATTAAGTTTAGCAATATGCGGTTTCTTTTAAAACACACGCTGTTAACACTCCTTTCCCTTCACATGCACTACTGGCTTAAAAACAACTACATAATCAACTAGTCAAAACACTACATTGGCTTGAGGGCTTTTATGAAACCCTATACCTTTGCAAAGCATAATGAGATTGACTTTCATGGAAAAAGGCTGCTACTTACTCTGTGGTAAACCTAACCACTAATGTCAGCTTACTATCCAACAGAAAAGTCTCTAAGCTCTTGGAAGTACTTAAGTCTGAAACCTGGAGGCGGACTGAATGTTCAGGCAACCACGTTGTATTTCAAAGTCTGTGGATTTGTAATGGTGAACAGCATTCTAAAATTACATTTAAGAAAAGAAGCAAGATTTCGGCGAGCCCTACCTCTGTCTCCATGATCAGTCACTTCGACAGCACAATGGAAACGGGTGGTGCACGACAGCTGTCCTATACAACAGTTGACTACTGTTGTGCGCTGCTCTCAAAACAGGTTGCATGTGGCTTGTGACAAATGAGAACGGGGACAACTCCGTCAAAGCAGCAAAAGAAACCACACCCCGTGACACACACGCGTGCATCTCTTCACACAAACACTCACGTTCTGCCTCAAGCTATAGTTCATGCAATCAGGAAGAACAGAAACATCACAGCCACAAGTTGTGTGTTTCCTGTGATGAAACACTCAAACAAACGGTAACCTCAAACAAACCATCCTGATATAACTTGATCTCCAATAATGCCATTCTGTTTAAATAACTGCTTTGAGGAAACAAGACTTCAGGTGTGTGTGTGTGTGTGTGTGTGTGTGTGTGTGTGTGTATTGCACACTAGTAGGTGCAAAATACTGGGCCGGGTATCTGCCAAAAATAATTAGGCTATGCCATTTAGAGAACAATAACACAAACAATCTAGAAGTCTATTAAAGTTAAGAAGTTAAGCAAAATCCCACATTATAATTAATTTAGTAAAATTATAATGTGCAAGTAAATGGCTCTTGACAATAAATAAAAATAATTTTATTGTCTTATACATTAATATTGTACTATAAGCATTTTATTATAGGCCTGGCTTAAAATGCAAATCTCTTTTCATACAATATTTAACAGGGGGGTGTCTGTCTCAGACAAGCCTATTTCTCTCACATACTAAATTATTAAACAGTCAAGGAAGGAGGCACTACAGGAACATCAACATTTCATGAGTCTGTGTCCTCCTGAAATTTCAAAAAACAAGGTGCACAGGTGATCCTCACCTGGATTAAAAAGACATACCCTTCAAAAGTTTGGTGTCAGCCAGATAAAAAAAAAAAAAAAGAAATTAATACTTTTATTCAACAAGGACACATTAAATTGATCAAAGACAGTAAAGATTTATAATGTTACAAAAGACTTTCAATAATAGTAATTAATTTCAATTAAATGCTGTTAATTTTCTATTCATCAAAGAATCCTAATAAAATGTATCACGGTTTCCACAAAAATAAGGTACAACTGTTTACAGCATTGATAATAAGAAATGTTTCTTGAGCATTAAATCAGCATATTAGAATGATTTCTGAAGCATCAAGGATTCACACAGAAGACTGGAGTAATGATGCTGAAAATTCAGCTTTGCCATCACAGGAATAAATTACATTTTAAAATATATTGAAATAGAAAACAGTTATTTTAAATTGTAATAATGTTTCAAAATATTACTGTTTTACTGTATTTTTGAACATAAGGGATTTCGTTCAAAACCATTTTAAAAATCTCACCAACCCCAAACTTTTGAATGGTAGCGTATATAAAATAGTGCTAACAATTAATTGCATCCAAAATAAAAGTTTTTGTTTACAAAATATGTGTGTACTGTGTATATTTATTATGTATATATAAATACACAAACAAACATATATATTTTAAAAATATGTACATGTACATATTTATATTCAAATATAATTTATATTTTATATAAATATTAATATTTTATATATAAACAAAACATATTTTCTTAAATATATACTGTATGTGTGTGTATTTATATATACATAATAAATGTACACAGTACACACACATTATGTAAACAAAATATTTTAGTTCGGATGCGATTAATCGTTTGACAGCACTAATATAAAAATACTTTATTGCTATAAGTTCGATGTTTGTTTATTTCAAGTTTTAAAAAAGCTGGTGTTTACATTACCAAGCAATCACAAAAAATTAATACCTGCTTGTGTTTGAGCTTTGCAAACCATCAGTTCAATTATACATATATTAGTACCCTAATTGTGGATTTGCAGTGCATTTTCAAATGATTATTAATATAAGAAAAAACTGATTAGACAAACCATTCACACTATTTCACACTGATTTTGACAGTAAATGACTCAATGCCTCCTCCCTGTGGCCATTTGGGGGAACTGATCCTCTCAGCTAAATCAGACAACCAAAACATTCATTCAACAAGAGTAAGATAGCTGGACTGAAAGCCCAGCCTTTGAAAGATTACACAACATCCTACAAAAATTGATTTGCTTTGACTGAGGGAAAGAATGCATCCGCCGCACAGTGGTGCTGGTGATTAAGAGGCAAACACAGGAGGCGTCACTTCCTGTCTGAATCTTTGGAGAACCCAACCCTCCATTCTCCCCTGTGTATGAGGAGGAAAGTCTGAGCTCAGCATGGAAACACCTCCCTCACAAAAACGCTGATCTGATAGGAAAGGTCACATCATAAGAACCGTGTCTGTGATCCTTCCATTCCTCACATCAGATAACACTGTTCCTGCATGCTTATTAACTTCATCATCGGATAGAGGAGTTATTCTCTAGACCCAAAAATAGAGTCAGAGAGGAGCGTTTTTAGGTCTGATAAACTGTACTCTCAGTGTATAAATGGTTCCTTCATTTTAGAAATAATGCTCAAAAATTTGTAAACTGTACACTTACATTTAGCAGATGCTTTTATCCAAAGCCACTTACAAATGAGGACAATGGAAGCAATCAAAATCAACAAAAGAGCAATGATATGCAAGTGCTATAACAAGTCTCAGTCTCATAAACTACCTTTAATTTTGCAAATGATTTCACAAAATCACGTGTGTGTGTGTATATATATATATATATCCTGCTTAAGTTACAAAATGTGTATTCGGTAAGTTAAGAAAATTCAGGATGTATTTTACATTCTAATTTTAGGTTCAAAACATCGAACTTAAAATGCATTAAGATGTTATTTTGCAGTTTAGGCTCTTTTTTGTTTATTTTATATATGCAATTCTATGGATGTAGTATATGAATCTGTGAGTAGCTACTGAGAGTATAGATTACAAATATATATATAAGACAGTACAGATGAGAAAAAAAGGTAGACCACTTACAAGGACAATGGAAGCAATCAAAATCAACAAAAGAGCAATGATATGCAAGTGCTATAACAAGTCTCAGTCTCATAAACTACATTTAATTTAGCAAATGATTTCACAAAATCACGTGTGTGTGTGTGTATATATATATATATATCCTGCTTAAGTTACAAAATGTGTATTCGGTAAGTTAAGAAAATTCAGGATGTATTTTACATTCTAATTTTAGGTTCAAAACATCGAACTTAAAATGCATTAAGATGTTATTTTGCAGTTTAGGCTCTTTTTTGTTTATTTTATATATGCAATTCTATGGATGTAGTATATGAATCTGTGAGTAGCTACTGAGAGTATAGATTACAAATATATATATAAGACAGCACAGATGAGAAAAAAAGGTAGATTTTAGCGTCTCAAATATTTTTCTACATGGCCATGAGGGCTCTGTAAACCTCTGACCGAAGTATGAGGAAGAAACTAAATGCAATAAAGAAACTCAGAAGAAAATGACAAGCGACAGATATGTAACAATCACAGTAAAGTCACACGCTGAGATTCTCGGTTTCTTTTGGGTGATAACTTACGCCTCAGTACCGCGACTAACGTACGTTAAACCACCAGCAACTCCCCTACTAACCCAGACCAGGTAGACTCCTCTAAATATGTTTAGTGATATGAATAAAATGTGAGTGTTTTTATGAGGCTGAAGAGAGCTAATGCAGCAGTTAATCTGTGGTCAGGCCAACACTTTTCAGCTACTAACGTTAACCGGTTTGTTGATCATGCGCGTGAACTCTCGTAATATTACAGTGTTGACTTACCTTTTTGACTTTCTTTACGTCATCCTCCATCTCTATGTACAAATGCTCTTCATTTTAACTGTATTAGATGCAGTGCTGTCCACGAGTTCAGTGCCATCTGCCTCATACACGTCAACGGAGGCGCTTTACCGATCTAAACTAAGCAAAACACCGATCCAAATCACGTGTTCGTGGATCGGAAATAAACAACTAACCTTCTTAAACGCTATAAAAATAGGGATTTATTCAGTGGGGGACAGAGACCGATAAAATGTCATAAAATAAAACAAAAACCGCAACAAACTTTTCAATCCTGCCGCCATTTTGGGCGTAGGACGTCTACCCATAATGCTTTGCGAGACAAACGGAAAACCTCATAAGTGCATACTAATCTACAAACTAAATGCATATGGTCTTATTCATAAACCCTGAAAATTAAAGATTTAAGTCTGTTTAGTTTGTTTTAGATCGTGCATTTTTACTGTAACTTAATAGTAAGTCTGTTCCTAGTACAGTGGCTCTTTAAAAAGGGGACTGGGGCCCTCTAGGGGGCCTCAGCAAACTTCTAAAGAGGCTACAAGAAGACTTAAATAATATACTTACAACAGTTTACCTTAATTAAAATGGCATAAACATCTCAAAATGTTTATTTCGAACATATAAATTGACATAATTGGAATCTGTTCCATCAACAGCATTTGGCTTTACTGATGGATTTACTCAATTATTTTAGTCTATTGATATTTCACCAATAGTAACCACCACCAAAGTAACATAGTTACTATTGTTACTCATATCCCCCCAGTCCTGAATGTGGTTACATAAGTTATGAATTCTGAATATATCAGAAGTCTCCATACCTCAGTAAATTTTCTTCACGGTAATTCGATTGAAGCAATTTGATAATAAAAATGAATTATAATAATGTCATATCTTTATTAAACAACAATTTGTTACTCTGGGAAATCTATCTCTATCATATATCAGTATACATTCACATACACATCAGAACATATACATTAGTATATAACCACTTTGATCTGTCATTGGGCAAATTCTGCATAAACATAAAGCATACAGTTTTGTATATATGTACTCACTTTCAAATACTATACTTATTTTTCCAGTCTTCAGTGATGAACAGTCTCGTATATAGATCTACAGTAAGGCTCAACATATTCTTTTTTGTCAGTATGATATTCCCTTTTTCACCTAAAAACCAAAGTTTACAAAAACAACCGTAGCACCATATGTTGTCAGTATTAGTAATATTTTCCCAAAAAATAAGGTCTAATGCATTACTAGACATCAGTTTTGTTCTCAAATAATGGCAATCAAACAAAACAATTTACTTTCATTTGTATTTGACAACATCAAATAAATCTTTTTTTCAACATAAGTAATGAGTACAGTCAGTTAAGAAAGAAAGAAAGAAAAAAGAAATGTTACAGATAGTAGCAAATGATTTGCTTAATAACTTTGTGCCTTCTTTCTTTAACACTCTATGTGAAAAATACAAAGACGATCTAACACAAACTGTTTTACAGGAAACTTACCCGTGTCCAACAGCATGGATAACAATTCTAAAATTAGCAACAATTCATCTGACAACCATAATCATTAATAAGATCATTTTCCAACAAAATATACAGCCAGATCTACAATAACAGAAGAAATACACATAGGTTTAGGACATAGAGATGACAGGAATATACAACACAGCAATCATCTTCTATATGTTTAGCAATCCATTTTTACCAGTAGTCCTTTTAGGCCTATATAGATGAATGTCAAAATGATGCATTTTCATCTTTTTTTCTCTTTTAAGAGAAATCCTAGTGCAGATTCTAAACACCTAAACATATTTTTTAAAAACAAATATACATAAAAATAAACAGAAATTCGGGGTAGAAGTAAAAAATAAACATATTTGCTGCACCAATGCTTCTGTGTACTGCTTGAAACATAATAAGTGGCACCATATTTCAAAGAGAGATGTTTAGCTGTAAACTGTGTTGAGGTGCTTGTTCTTCCAGAGAGGAAAGTGTCCGTGAGCTTAAAGAGGCAGGTCTATCGGACGGTGGCCTTGTTTAGTGAGCCACAACAGGGGTCCTGCGGTCCACATTCGTGGTAGCACCTTTAGAATATGTTGATAAGCACCAGATCAAGACACAAAAATGCACCGTTTTGTGGTTGTTTCGCCATCAGAACTTTTGGCTCTACATCAATACCAATCATTGCGAAACCACTGTACAGAACTGGATTTGATGAGCGTGTAGATGCTCTTAGAGAACCCTGGAGCGATGGCTGGGGCGTTTCATTGAAGAAAACATGCACGTGTGTTGGAGGGGTCACCATAGGATGCATTTTGCGGGCATGCTAAGAATCCAAAGGATGTAGAAGCAGTCTAAAGATGGTTCAGCACTAGAGGCCTTTAAAAATGTGTCCAATGCCATCTTAGATTTAAGTTAAAATATTAGACCCAGTGAGCACCATATTTACGTACCCCACTTCTTCTATTCTTATTGGTCTACACACATTTTTTCTTTTTTTTTCTTCTTCTTCTTCTTTTTTTTTTTTTGCAGGCATAAATCCATTTGGTTAGACATTTTTGTTCACAAGACAAACGACAGAGAGAAAGATTAACTTGTTGGCACTACAGCTCATTCGTTTTGCAAGACAGAGGAAGGCATAGACAGAAGTACATTAACAATCATTAAATAAATTGCTAACTTCATCATAACTGTCATTTAGTACCCAAACAAACCAAATATCATTCCTTTTTCGCATCCGATCATAAACAAAACCCTTGCGAATAGTTGAATGGAACCGGTCTGTGTATTTCGTCTTCAGGAAAAATGTGGAACCCAACATTCAAGTAGATGTTAAGTATTGCCTATAAGTTGTAATAAACAGATCATTTTGTTTAGCAAAGATTTACCTGGAGAGCACTTCCTGTGTGGGTGCGGGACAAAATTGACTGGCTTGTTACAGTACTGAGCGAAATATGAACGGAGATAGAGACACTGGCATTGTTGTTTGCTGCACTGGCTGCCATGGCTACACAGAAGCACCCAAAAAGACAAGGCACCACAAAGAATCAGATATTAGAGACTGGTCCCACTTTACCCATCCCACTCTCGACGTGTACAAATGGCGGCATGACTTCAATATCAACTAATCTGATGTGTAACTTGTTTGACTTGTAAGGCAGTAATCTAAAACGAACCAATTTGGAATTATATGTGTACTGTACAGGGTTGGATTTGTCGCAAATCCTGACCTATATCTGATCAAACGTGGCGATGTTGGTCACTACACATCATGCTAGTGGAATAATAGAAGAAAATATCACAGTGTAGTTGAAAATATCACCTGGACTGTCTTACCTCAAGTGCGTTATTAGTTACCGATTCTGTAATTGGACTATGAACGTATCATGGGATGCCAGGCAGCCGAGTCACGCAACCGTAAAAACGAGTAGTAGTCTTACACATCGTTATGTAACAGGGTTGGTGATATCCCAGCAAACAACAGTGCATCAATGTGCCAAGCACCTACAGAAGTGGAATATCAGTGACTTTTTTGGCACTGGACGGGAACAGGGAACAGGAAACTGAACTTTCTGTAGCTTAAACGGAAAACCTGATATTATGAGGGTTACGGAATATTGATGTTTTGGAATAAGAATTGCATGAAATCGCCTGCCCGTCCCCCATTCCCCTTGGCCAGGTTATAAATCCAAGTTGTTATCTTGAAACATAGTCTTTGCATCCGAATATCCCAGATAACACTCGCATGAGAGGGGTGGAAGGGTCAGAGCAGCAACCAAGGATGGAGCTGAAGAAGTAAGACCTACAAACCAAAGTCACACGCATACATACACAGAATGCACACACTCACTGATAGCTATTGTCTATCCTCATCTCTTTTCCATCCATGGCAAAAAAAACCTCCACCTCGTCCACTACAACCGATCTGAAGTCTGCTTGGAAATTTTCAGCAGGCACAAATGGGGTTTGTAGCAGCCCATGCGGTGAAACTTGGCATCCCATGTTAATGTCTGCACTTATCTCACCTGGATGCTAAACAAAGCGTCGGAACAACAAAAATTACCTCAGCCCTCAGAGAGCAATTCATTCATTCTCAATTGAATTTATGAAATCTGGGAAAAATTACCTCAGGCTTGGAGGTAAACAAGTGGCTTTTTGTAGAGGTAATCCTCAGGTTTGTTTTAAGTACACCGTATATAGGATATTGAAAAAAAAACATTAAATTATTTTACATATTAGAAACCGTCATTTGTTGGTTGGCACCTGGCAACCCAGTAAATCCTCAATATGTGCAACCTCGGCATGCATTTGATGGTGGTGTATAAACTTAGCTACTTTCAGGCAAAAGCAACACCTTTTTCTCCAATGATTTCATAGTACATTTTCAAAAAAATATTGCACAATTCAAATAAAGGACCTTTTTGTTATATAAAAAATTATTATAGTACATTTTGAATGCGAATGGTATACCATTTACACGTGTAAATGTGTTAAGGTTCTTCACCTTTTGAGAATCTGTTAGCTTTTTTCTGAAGAAATGGTTTAGGTGGACAGAAAAATGCAATTTTGTACAGGGAATGATGGAGGATTACTAAAGGTTAGAGTTAAGCACCACACGCTGCAAACATTTCTGTTCATTATTACACTGTAAAAATGGTAACAAGCAATTGTTACCTTAAAGATTAGTTTTCTAACTCATGATCTAAACCTCAAAAATAACTTTGCCAATGTAACCTATTTCATTAAGGTTAGCTTAGACATATTAATTATTATTTTTTTCTTGAATAAAACCAATACATTATTAAATCACCAATACATGTTAAATCACAAAAAGCACTTTTTTAAAATTATATGACAAAATATGTTACCAGAGTATTGTTATTTTGTTTTATGTGTGTCTGTGTTTATGTATGGAAGGATATAAGGAAATATATAATATAATATGTCCTATTTGTTCTGTCTAGCTTTCATCAGTTGCACAAATACATACACACACACACACACACACACACACACACACACACATGTCTGGTTTGCTATTCTTGTGGGGTACACACACACACACACACACACACACACATATATATATATCAGTGGGCCATATGTAAAATAAAAAAATCATGCACTACTGTCAAAAGTTTGGGTTTGATAAGATTCCATCTTTTGATCAATGAAGTTACATTTATTTGATGAAAAATACAGTATAAACAGTAATAATGTGAAATATCATTGCAATTTAAAATAACTGTTCTATTTTGATATATTAGCCATTATATAGCAGCCATTACTTCAGTCTTCAGTGTCACATGATCCTTCAGAAATCATTCTAATATGCTGTAATTGGTGCTCAAGAAACATTTCTTATTATTATCAATGTTGAAAACATTTATGCTGCTTAAAATTTTGGTGATAACCTTGATACATTTTTTTTTCAGGATTTTGTATAGATGAATGGATGAATAAAAGGTTCAAAAATTACAGCATTTTTTTTTTAGATAGAAAAGTATTTACGCTATTCTTTAAACAGAAATAGAAAAGTTACTGTTTATTGTCAGTTTTGATCAATTTAATGCATCATTTTTTCTTAAAAAAATCGTACTAAGCCCAAATTTTTTAACAATAGTGTATACAGTAGTGTAAGAAAATATGTCCCATTCATTCAATCTAGTGGTCATAAAGTGCACTTTCACATACTATAGATGGGTTAAAAAAATAGTGGGCCATATGTAAAAAAAATCATATATTCCCTCAGATTACAGAGCTGTAGATATCACATCACTAGTGAGATTCAGTAGGAAAAGACATGTTAAGATAATATTAAGGCCCTTGATGATCAAAATTGCGGTGGCAGTGTTATATGGTAGGTCAACGCCAAAATTTTACACCAATTTTACACCAATGACATCATTGCATTTTACTTGAAAAAAGCGATTGTACCTTTTTGGCGCAATTTGACAACAATTTCAATTCTCTTCCCCCTTAATCACAGGAGAAAAGGAGTAGGGCATCATGTGCTTTTTCTGACAATCAAATGTGCTTTTTAGTGTCTAGCTGATATTGACTCACTTGCCATCTTTAAGATCAGTTGTCACCACAACTGTTTGGGAAAAACGTAGGCACAAAATGGTAAAAGCGAAATCAGAATGAGGATGCTAAAGACTATGTTCCTCCATCATTCCCACCATGCACATGTCAGAGGCGACAGGGCCACAAACACCATCAAACATACACATTAGTTGAACATTCACACCATAGTAACCCAAACTAGGGAATGTTGTATTTCGGACTATTTGTTCTCCAACTCTACACTGTGTTAGTCAAAATATATGTTGAATATTCTCTGTTTAGACTCTTTTAGATGCACTCTTATAGTTTGAGAGTACAACTAAATAAAAACTCTGAAGAAAAAAGCACCAAGGGAAGTGGAGAACCATAGAGGGCATGAGAGTAGAGAAGGAACAGCATTGCATGCCTTCACAGGGATGACTCGTACTGGAGCAGCTCGTAGAGGAGGGGTCCATCCCTGTACCTGATGCCCACCACGTTGGGGGTGATGTACTGGAGGATGTTTATGGTTCGCCGCAAACGTCGGTCCACAAAGTGAGCATCCCAGGCTGGGTAGCGCTTCCTGGGCATGTCGATCTTGATGAGGGGCCCCTCGGGGGGGATGGGCCTACCCGCCGCATCGGTGGGCTCTGTGGATCTCACCTGGAACACCGGCAGACAAGTGTCTGTGGACAACTAAATAAAAACTCTGAAGAAAAAAGCACCAAGGGAAGTGGAGAACCAGAGAGGGCATGAGAGTAGAGAAGGAACAGCATTGCATGCCTTCACAGGGATGACTCGTACTGGAGCAGCTCGTAGAGGAGGGGTCCATCCCTGTACCTGATGCCCACCGCGTTGGGGCTGATGTACTGGAGGATGTTTATGGTTCGCCGCAAACGTCGGTCCACGAAGTGAGCATCCCAGGCCGGGTAGCACTTCCTGGGCATGTCGATCTTGATTAGGGGCCCCTCGGGGGGGATGGGCCGACCCGCCGCATCGGTGGGTTCTGAGGATCTCACCTGGAACACCGGTAGACAAGTGTCTGTGGCGGCCTCCTCCGGCTCGCCGTAGTCCCCTGAAGCCATACCCCTGGTCGGGGTGGCTTGGGAGCCCCGAGGCCCTGGAGTGGGAGCCATGGGCTCGGCCTCAGGTGGTAAGGGGAGGCCCCAGAGCAGCTCAGCACAGCAGGAACTGGCCAGCACCCTCAGCCGGGGCCCCATAGGATGCAGGACCCCGTAGTAGAGGACCATGCAGGCCACTCCGGAGGCAAAGCACAGGAAGACGCCGCAGAGGGCGGATGCAGCGTAGGAGTCGGTAGTGACCGGGTCTCTGTAGATGTACCACAGAGCGGTAAGGATGGTATTTTCCACCAGCACCAGCAAATAATAAACCACCATGCGGTATCGGGTCCTTCCCTCCTTGACATTAAACCAGCAGAAGACGTAGACTATGCCTACCATTATGTTGAATAGCACCTCTTCCCACTTGGACATACAGAAGTCGGTGCCTCCGTGGATTACCCAGAAGGCCATGGCACACCAGTGCAGCACCACAAAAATGCCAAAGTAGATGTGGAAAACTGAGGCAAAGAGGGCGAAAGATAGCGCCCGAGAAGAAATGGTGAAGAAACGCCAAAGAAGATGCACCACCGCTCCCCTGTAGCTCATGCTCTTTTGGTCGTCACGGGAATCACGCAGAAGCTTGTGGTATGAGGCCAGAACCCAGGAAAGAGAGAGGAGAGACGCAACCGCCGACACACCTGGATGATAGAGAGACATACAATTATTCTTATTAAATACGTAAAGTGTCATTGCTTATTAATATTTGGAATTAATATGAATATCTTTAAAAAAATAATAGTATTAATAATACTAAATAAGCACACAATATTTATAAATGATAAATAATATTACAGTTATTGAAATAAAATATAATGTATATAAAATAATGAAACAATAAACAATGGGGTCAGTAAGATTTTTTTCTCAAAGAAATTAATACTTTTATTCAGCATTAAATTGATCAAATGTGATAGTAAATAAATGTATAATGTTACTAAAGATTTATATATATAAAAAAAAAATTAGTTCTTTTGAATAATCTATTCATCAAAGAATTCTGAAAAAATGTATCACAGTTTCCACAAAATTATTAAGCATCAAAATTGTTTTCAATATAGATATAATAAGCAGAAAATCATGTGACACTGAAGAGTAATGACTGCTAAAAATTCAGCTTCGCCATCACAAGAATAAATTACATTTTATTTTTTTTACATTTACTCTGTTTTTTATTACATTTCTGCCTTTAAGTCTTTTTACATGATAAATGGACAAACATCAGAACCACAATAAATGCATTAAAGTGTGGTTCATTTCCATTTCCAGGTTCTAATCTACGTTATTCTAACACCTGCAATTTTTGGAATTTTTGTGTGTGTCAAAAAAAAAAAGAACAAAACCACAAAGCAATATATGTGTACTGTGATGAATAACATAAACTATCTGCATCCAGTAATGCTAATGAAAAGCACGCTAATACATACAAACAGCATCAATCATTGTCTTATCATTTCTACAACACCTGCCTACCATTTGTTGGAGCCATTCTCCAAAACACACCTCTGTCTTGTTCTTTATATCTTTTTTTCTAAGATGTTTACCAGTCATTCTGCTGAGCTCAGACTTCATGTTCATAAAGGCATCTGCACTGCTGGCAGTGCTGTCACCTCAGACGTAAGAAATGGTTTTACGGCTCAGATTATCTGCTGCACAGCAGAAAAAAAAACATGCTGCCCCTAAACACAGTTGATCATTCAAAAAGTCTCAGCCAGGGAGGGCCTTATTATTAGATTCATCCACAAGTCAGCCTTTTTTCCAGAAGCACAATATGGATTTGCCATGATGTGTCCGGTTTTCTGACAGATTAAGACGGTCCTTGGATGTGTTGATGAATTATTACAACACAAAGCTGTGAGATCAGGTTGGGCATATACTGTTGTCACTTGAAAAGCTAATCTAACTGAGAATTGTAGCCATTCATCATGTTGTTACAGAGCCTTGAGTTGCACTCATAAAAAATTAAAGGTATATTTCCAATAGTATTTCTAATCAGGAAATTATGCTTGAGCATGCAATTCATGTGACAAATTACCAAGTCAATTAGAAACAACTTTCACTACTGTAATTATTAACCTATAGTTGCATTATGCTACACCACAATCACAAAATATGAAAACATGAGTAAATACATCTTCTGAAAGGTATACATTGTGTCACATTCTTTTTACCGAGGTTTCAGAGTTATCTCAGTGAAATGTACACATCCAAAAAACATTCATCACTGACAAACATAAGCAGTACTGTTTGAAATGTCAGCGGTCTCAGTACAGAGCCTAGAGGCACTCCTTACACTGCAGAGTTTCTGCCCGGTTCTTCTGGATCATGATGCAGAGCTGGAGAACTAGCTGTGGAGCACTTTCCAGAAATGTCTCCAGTAGACGGAGCATGTTGACATCGGCATACTCATACATCATGGCCCAGTAGAAGCGTCGCTGGTTCTCCTTTTGTCTGCGGCTCTGGATGCCAAGATACATTGTTCTGATGTACCTGCAGAGGTACAGATGCAGAAGAGAAGGAAAGTAGATATAGTATAAAGCTGGAATATACAGAGAAGGAATTATACAGATTACATTTCAGATGTAGAAAATAACAGTGAGCACAGAGGAGAAACAGAAAACAAGGGGAGGGATCAGTTAACCAGATTGATATCACATATCCATTATGGATACATTCTCTTCAAACCAGTGTTGTGTTGGGGAGGAACTAAAAGTAGCAATTTTACATTTTTGAAAAGTGTGACAGCAGCTCAGCTTTTCTTATAGTAGTGTAGCTTTTCTTGTAACAATCTACTACAGTAATGTGAAAATGCACTTTGCTGTTTTTGTCACATTTTTGCACAGAGTTTTGTGACTGAGATAGCTAAGGCTAACTACAACTACTATCAAACACAATCTCACACACACACTCTGCTAGAATGTCTCACTCAAACTTCACTTGTCTGTGTATGTTAAAGACAGAGTGTCAGTTTGTGTATTATCTGTGCTCTTTTTTAATTACTTTTTCTTTGCAGGTTACATCATTACTAAAAGGTGGCAACAAATGCTTATCTTTATAAGTCTATGAGTCATCTGAATTATTAACTCAATTGATTCACTCAGCAACACGAAACAAGCAACTGCAACTGAATCATTAGTCATCTGTATCATTCACTTAAAGGGGTCCTATTATGCTTTTTCACTTTGTCAACTTTAGTTAGTCTGTAAGGCTCTAAAAATCTGAAAAACCTCTGCAGGCAGCATACAGAGGTAGGAAGGCAACAAGGCACATCACATCCTCTATGCTGAGATACATTGATCTGATCCATTTTTGAAGGCAGCATAGATGAATTCTTTGGTGCCTAAGATATCCCACAATTCTGTGCATTCTATTCCGTGACAGTTGAGCTAAAATATTTAAAAGGCATTGTGAAAGTGTGGTTGGTGGTCAGTTTGTGTAAATGTCTGTTTTTGGCCAACATTTTCCACTTTTGATGTAATTTCAAGGGAAAAATGTGTATTGTAGTAATTAAATATTCACTTATTCACTCAGTTATTACAAAAGCTCTCTATGGAAGCTCGTTTCCGCCACTGAATAAAAAATAAAAAAGGTAATTGTGACTTTATATCTCGCAATTCTGACTTTATAGCTCGCAATTGTGAGTTTGTATCACGCAATTCTGAGAAAAAAAGCTCTCTCTATTTTGTTGTAGAGCAGAATTTTTTTGTTATGCTCAGAAGTCTGTCTGAAATCTATGGAAGCCCGTTTCCGCCACTGAATAAAAAATAAAAGAGGTAATTGCGACTTTTTGTCTCACAATTCTGACTTTTTTTCTCAGAATTGCGTGATATAAACTCACAATTCTGAGAAATAAAGTCAGAATTGCGTGATATAAACTCGAAATTGCGAGACATAAACTCACAATTCTGACTTTTTTGCTCGCAATTGCGAGTTTATATCTCGCAATTCTGACTTTTTTTCTCAGAATTGTGAGATATGAACTCGCAATTGCGAGATATAAAGTCAGAATTGCAAGATATAGTCACAATTGCGAGAAAAAAAGTCTGAATTGTGAGTTTATATCTCGCAGTTCTGACTTTATTATAGCTCGCAATTGTGAGCTTATATCACGCAATTCTGAGAAAAAAAGTCAGAATTGTGAGATAAAAAGTCGCAATTACCTTTTTTTATTTTATTATTCAGTGGCGGAAACGGGCTTCCATAGAAATCAGTCATGTGCAAGTGCTGCCTGCAAAGTCACTGCCTGATAGGGCAATGAGGTAACAAGTCAGCTGCCCAAGCTTTCATGCACAGCCACTGTCTTTGTTAGTGAGTCATTTGAATCAGTCACTCAACCGATTCATTTAACAACACTGTTTCATTTCGGATCAAAATACCACAACTGTATGTTGCTCAGAGACACGACAGTTGATTCTGCTGTGGCTTTGATTTTCAGCAATATGTTTTATATATATATATACTAACATTGAATAACATGTTCATTAGGGTTTATTCTATGTGGTTTAGTTAGCAATCAGTAGTGCGTGATAACTGGAAGTGGATAGATGTTCCAGCATACATACAGACTGCTAATCTAGCCCTATTTTGTCTTCTCTTCCTGTATTAAAGACACCACTATATACCGGTGGGGATAGTGGCCGACAGGCGCCTGTCTAGGCAGGGATGGAGACAGGGTGTTCTGTGTCAGCGACGGTCAGGGATTGATTATCTGTGATCTTGAGCATGGATGATCTTCTATAGCTCAACACCATGGAGTCACTTTATATTTATTGGAAGGCACAATCTTGGGCCACATTTTTATCTCATTTCTTACCTAAAGCTCAATTATGATGCTTTCATGCGAGAAGCTGAAACACATTAAGAGCCTAGGTGCTGAGAGGAGAAAATTACATTCAGCCATAATAACAGGACTGAGACTTTGAGGTCAACAGGAGGTAAATGGGACTCACAGGCCCAGTATCTGAGAAAATGAAACCGCCTCCTAAAAAAGAGTGTAATGATCCAACTACACCACTAGAGGGTTCACTTTACTGTTATGTAAAACAGGCTGTAAAATACAATCTGTAAAAACTGCAGACATTCAGTTACTTAAAGGTGCTTAAAGCAAAAAATTTCCCAACTACCTGACAGATATAATTAAAATAGCTATCCTGAGAAACCTCACCTGTCGTGATAGTCCTAGTCTATGTATACAGATACTAAATAAATGAATTTCTATGCTATATATTTGTATAGCTAATTATTCAGATTAATGTAACATAATAATGTTGAAGTATTGTTTGTTGATCTGATTAGCAGTTTTATCCCTGTTTTTATTAATATATATATATATATATATATATATATAAATTGAATAAATTGTGAGATACAAAGTCAGTTACAAAATAAAGCTGCAGTTATAAGAAATAACACACTCTTATGTCAATTCATTACTAATTCATAACAATTTTACATTATGGCAATTTGGTGGCGACTTGTTATGAATTCATACAATATAATTTGTTCATATTTATATGATCTGCTTTCGCCCCAGTGAGGGTTAGATTTAGGGGTGGCCTTTTCTAAAAAAATGTTTACATTTTCGAACAAATTCATACGAAATTACCAGCTCGTAAAATAGTTACATTTTCCCATAAGAACGAGTAGTAAATAAAGCTGCAATTATGAGAAATAATGTCACAATTACAAGAAGTAAATTCACAATTGTAAAAAAAATAAAGTTGCAGTTGTGAGATGTAGTCGCAATTAAAAGAAATAAAGTCAACCTTTGTAGTTGAAACGGCTTCTTTAAAAACACATCATCTAATCAATCTTGTTTGAAAATATAAGCATTTAGGAATCACTCATGGGTCCAAATGACATGCATTTTTGTGCACTTCAAATCTTTGTTACACAGAAAGCAGTGTAATACACAGTACAGTGAAAGGACTGATAGGAAACACATTTATGCACAAACTTCAAAGTTAGTCACAGATGCCGTCCCACCTCCTTGGCTCCAGTCCATAACAATGTTGACGAGTGTAATCTCCTGCCATCTCAGCTCTATGTTTCTTTCATGTCTGCTTTTGCCATTCTGTTCACTCAATATGTTCTTCATGGCTTACTCATCCACACCGTCTGTAAGTGCACCCTGTCTCCCTGCTCTCCACCTCTCTCTGGACCACCGAGCTGGGAAAGCTGTGTACATTACACTGAAATCTACAAAATCAAATTTTTACTGCTTCAGGTATGGATTTTGAATGTAAAAACTCAGCAGCAGGTCCTATATCAGCATGAAAGGGGCAGCTGCTGCTTGAAGTTGCTGTGACAACACATTAAGTACAGAACATGGCTACAGCTGCTCTAAAGTCCCACACACAATAGTTTCACAGATGCTATCTGCTTTTGAAAATGTAAATCGGTGTGAAACTCATTTTCATGTTCACCCCCTTACAAAAGTACTGTATAGTTACACCATAGTACAGTGATGCTTTCAGGTATTTGATATACTGAAAGTCAACATGAACATAAACTAGCACCAACAGCTATTTAGGCAATAGCTAGCGAGCAATTTAAACTAGCCAGAATATCTATTTGACTTGGTGAACATTATAAACTAACTGCAATAGCCGGCTCGTGGTAAACATTATGAACTAGCCTTAGCCATTTAGCTATTGGTGAACATTATAAACAAGCCACAATAGCTATTTGGCCAACTGTACACATTATGAACTAGCCTTAGATAGTTGCCTATTGATGAACATTATAAATTGGCTACAATAACCGGGTCATGGTAAATATTATTACCTAGGCTTGTAGCTATTTGGCTAAGCATAAACATTATTATATACTAGCCTTAGCTATTTGGCTATTGGTGAACATTATAAACAAGCCAAAGTCGCTATTTAGCTAATTCATTTCATTTTTTTCAAATTCATTTTTGATGACATGTTTCCAAAGTCATAATGTAAACATCTATCCAACAATGAAATTTATTCTGAAGAAAAACAGGAATACTCATTAAGAAACTAAAAACAACTTTAACGTCCCGTCGAGACTGTCCATCAATTTTTCTCTAATGGCCTAATTGTCTTATGAGGACTGTATACTGTAACTATTTTTTCTTGCACATTTGCAGGTTCTTCAGAAAATGACTGCTTCTCTCGATGACTCTTGGGAATCACATGCTTTTTTGAAGCAAGCGTGCCTTTAGAATCATTCACCAGAATGTGCTTTGAATGGAGCGTAATCTCTCTCTGCCGCTCACTGCTCTCATGAAGCTAATTACAACTATAATCATCTTTGCATTCGTTACAAAGCTTAATGGCTTCAACAGGAGCCGGTAATTATGTAAAAGTAGGAGTAACATTTGGTGGCAAACATCACTAACAACAGCAACAAAAAGACATTCTTGTGCACACCGGCAAAGCACATTATGCTTCTTTGGGAAATTTAATTCTTCAAAACAGCCTAGGCTGCAACACATCTCAGCACAAAATGTTCCAGCAACA